TGCTTCTCTGCTGGGAAAATCTGACATTCTGCAATACCAGTTCAATTGCATTATCAATTGCACTAGAGTATTCGGTGTAGTTAAAGTATTCTTGGTGGATCCCTCTGCTCTGCTGAGAGACACAGTTCATGTACTTTGATTAAGGATCTGTTATTCCGGCTTTTCAGTGTCTTATTGAACTTCCACTTGATATTTAAGGGCTGTAGAATTTGTTTGTAAACATACTGCCATCTTCTCAATTAAGTGGAACTCTCTGAGTCTTGAATGCTGTGGAGTGCCTTCTATTAATTCTGTCTCCTGTACTTCATTTTTTGGGCCCATAGGACTGTACTAGCAATAGCTATTCTGGTTTTTTTGTAGTACAGTGTAACTGAAAAAATGCCAACCATATGGCTGTCAGAAAACCCACAAATAAGGTCTTTGGTTTTGAGTAAGTCTAAATTTAGAAAATCTACCTCTTCTGCTGATTGCAATAGAGTTAATAATTAAGAGTAAGCCTAACTATATAGTATTAATTATATTAACTGCCTAAATTTTCATGTTTGATAACGTGTATATCTAGGCAAGATTGGAGCTGATTCTGATACTGACGAGGAGACAGATGGAGGAGACAAGACTGGAGGTGAATCAGTCAGTCAGTGAGTAAAAGACAAAACACATAAAAACTTAATTTAACAGTACTAAACAATACCAGGATTTTTCGTGAGAGATGATCCAACACGGCGTACAAACACCCCATCGCTCTGTCCTTATTTACGCGATTACTTCAGCTGAACGACGATGAGCTGTGACTGCTAGCAAGCACTAAACTTCCAAACACGACTGTCACTTCGTAACACTAAAGGTGTTTTGAGCACATAACTGAGTTTCGCAGTGGTGTTACCGCCTGTCAGTTGAGTTGTGGTAACTGGGCGTGCATGCCCTCCTAGCCTGCGGTGCAAGTGAAGTGGTATGGTTTAGGTTAACCCGCTCTGGGTGGGCGAAAGCAGGTTGAGTAACCTCTTCCCACTTAGGTCAGTGAATTGTGTTGAGTGTATTTTCAGTTCAGCTGAGGTATATCCCTTCTATTCCACCCTCCTTTCTGGTCTTTCATTTCTGCCCCAGTTGAAGCAGCACTGAGACTCACCTGTTCCCTTGCTCTGTGTTGGGGATGTTGTAGGGTGTCTAGAGTTTCAAGGACAGAGGGTTCTGTTTCCTTATTCTGAGGTTTGCATTCGTCAGTTTTATAAAGGTCAATGCTTTTTAAACTTTTCCTAAAGCACCTGTTTGTTTTTTAAAGACCAGTCTTGTGTAGTATATTACTGAGTCACTTCTTTATTGAAAGAGAGAACTATTTCTGGCAGTTTCTATGGACGTAGTGAAGGAGAAAAGAAAGTTACTTCTAATCGCCCACAGTGTATCAAATTTTATGATTCTAACTTGTTTGTAGAAGACAATAAAAGTGTTTTCTGTTTTCATTGCTGACCTGATTACAGCTGGTCTGCAGATTCAGTGCACTAACTTCATAAAACCTCTGAGACAACACGAGACAATATACCAATATGGGGCAGATTAAAGTACCTCTCGGTTGCTGGTTTGGTCAGTGCACCAAGACTTACTAGATAGGAACAAATGGATGGGAAAGCTAGCCATAGCAATCCAAATTTTTCATTCTGGTCAGTATTTTTGATTTAACAGAGACTGGGTTTCTGATCCTGTCTTTGATTCAGAACAAGTAATGATGTTATTGAATGAAGTGATTTTCTTTGATCACGCCTACCTGATACAAGTTAAGTGATGCTTCAGTTTTTCTCCTGTGATACAGTTTTCATACCCTTTGACACTGTTTCTTCTAGGGCTGTATTTGGAGCTGATCTGTGACTGTTTCCCTCCTCTGCTGTTTGTGGCTTACATCATGTGTGAATGGTGTCAGTACACCCGTTTATGTGGACTAATTTGCTTATTTTGGACATTTGCCTGCTGATGGGTATTTAAAAAGCAAAATAAAAAATTCAAAAACTACAAAACACACTAAATAACAGGTCTCTGTATGTAAAGGAGTCTCTGAGTGGTGGATGTTTTGCCAGTAAACTTACAAATAGAATGAGAATATAAACTTGTTGGCGAAGGAAACCATGAAAGATGCTCCAGGGTTTTGATGTCTGATTTTTTTTTAAGGCCGAATTTGCAAGGTGTATTGCAAAATACATGAAATGCTCTTCATCTTAAAGAGGTGTGGCAGGATTAGTGCTACTAGATTTCAGGAAGATAGTTACATGGCTGCAAGGTGTTTCAGAGCTACCATTGGGACATGTACTTATGTCCCTAGATTGAGCGAAGTCTTGCCTGTGTGCAAATAAAGTAATTATTTGAGCTGGTAAAACCTGAAAAAGGGAAACTGTTACCATCATTTAATGACTAAACCGACATAATAAGGAAAGCAAGCAGGATTTACAGTTTTTTCACTGGCAGGTATTGGAAGACAGTAACCCATTTGCCCATGGCAGGTAGGAGAGATTCAGGAAAAAAAATATCTATAGGATAGAAATTGCAGGTTGGAAGTCTGCTGTTTTTACACTGCGTGGATAATATTCCAGGCATATGCAGTGAGCAAATGGAAGTGCGTTGGTGTTGTCCACCTTTCCTCACAGATGCTCTGAAGCAGAGCAGAATTAAAACTGACCAAGTTCTTTAAGCATTGCTGTAGTTACCAAAAACTGACCAAGCTAGGTGTCATGGTTTAACCTCGGT